TGGTGCTGACTCACGCAGCTCTCAGGCTCTCAGACTACATGTTACCATAACTGTGGGGGGTCTTAGAAAACAGGCTCCCTGGGCCCTACACCAGGGATCTGATTTAATTGGTTTGGGGCAAGCCCAAGGCCTCCAGGGCACTGGCTAGCTTAAAAGCTCCCCAAGTGATTCAAATGTGCAGCCAGGGGTGAGATCCAGTAGGATAATCAATAGTTCTCGCGAACACCCCAGAGTCTGGGGCTCCAAGTCACAGCCCGGGGCACAGGCCCCCTCCCCCTCTAGCTGCCTTCACCTTCCAGGAGGAAGAAGAGGCGGGTCTAGACTGGCTGGCACAGACTGACGTAAGATAAGAGCTGGCGCCTCATTCACCCATCACCGAGTCACATATCCAATGACTTCCATACAAGTGCTGTGAAAAACATGATGGCAACTCACTGAGGGATCCAGTTACTGGGCAGCCAGGCCTTCCTGAGGAGGGGACATTTAAGTGGAGACCCGAGTGGCCGAGAGAAGCCTGCGGTGTGAAGCCACCCTGACAGGTGGAGAGAACAGCAGGTGCACAGCCTGGGGGCGGGGCGGGGAGGGGGAGCAAGGGGCAGGCATCTGGAGAGAACCGATGGGAAGACACCCGTGGGTGAAGTCTGCGAGTGGGCAGGGGCGCACGTGAAGGGTCCTGGGACTGTGGGGAGAAGGGCTGTCCTTCTCTGTTCCATAGGAAGCCCCTGGAAGCTTTTCCAAAGGGAATGACACGACCTGGCTGGTGTTTTTAAGGGCCACTCTGGCTGCGATGGGGAGGCTGGCTTGTGGGGAGCAGGAGGGACGCAGGTGACAGCTCACCCAGCAGGGCAGTGGGCGCCCCGTGCTCCTCTCCAGGGAGAGGCCCAGTAAACGTGCCCAGCGCCTCGAGGTGGGAATGTAGGTCAGGCAGCCGGGCTCCCTCCCGCCACGCCGCCAGTGCGGCCCCCTCGCCTGTCAGAGAGACAGCCGGCACTGAGATGTGTGGGCTCCACTGAGAGATCAGTGTTGGCGGGGAAGGCTGAGATGATTGTCTTCCAGGTGCCAGGATGTGGGCCGCCGCCTGGGGTCTCCGTGTCTCCCTTCCCAGGGTGCCTCTCCCCCTGCCCCTCCACCCAGTCAGGACCCCCCTGGCTGCCCAGCCCAGGCCCAGGCAGCTGTCGCCTGGAGCAGGCAGCTGTATTTGAAGATCAGGGCTCAGACCTCTAAATAAATCAACACAGCCGGCCTCCCCGGCTCAGGAGGAGGGAGGCAGCTCCATTTCTCCTCAGCGCGGTGACCGGGAAATAAACGAGTGTCTCTGCCTGTCACATGCACTTAACCCTCTGCAAAGGCATCTGTCAGGCCCTAGCAGCGTCTGCCTCAGCCTTCCCAGGAAATCACGGCTGTGCCCCAAACTCAGGCTTCTCCCTTGGCCGCCAAGTCCACAATCCTGTTCAAGGAAAGGTAGGCATGGGGGCTTGTCCTTGACTTCAGGAAAGCACACAGACAGCAGGCATGAGCACTGGGCCCTGGGTGGCTGGGGAATGTTGGCACAGCTCTGTTGGCTGTGGAAGGGGAGGGGGGGGTGGAGAGCTGAGAGGGGCGCAGAGTGACCCTAGTAGAAGGGGGAGAGCCCAGGGCCCTGGGAACAGCCCTGGCGGTCTGCGGATGGATGGCCATGAGGGTGGGAGGGACAAGGAGAAGCAGAGGGCAGGGAGGGCTTCTCTGCAGGCCAGACCTCCCACAGCCACAAAGGAAGGAGGAAGGACCAAGAACAAAACCAGGCAGGGACAGAAGGGGGCCGGCAGAGAAAGAAAGCAGGAGAGGAAGGACAACCCCACAATCATCAAACCCAAGGCTTTTGGGGGGTAGGACCCCTCCAGATGCAGCAGGAAAGGTGATTTATGCACTGTGCCAGGGCAGGAGAAGTCTGAGCGAGGCCAGGGCTGGGAGAGGCTGGGAATGGTGGCCCTGCAGCAGAAGCCACTGACAGGTGGCGTGAAGCAGACAGGGTGTGAGCCTTGGGGTGGCAGGAGCCAGGCAGGGAGAGGAGGGCGAAGGGCTGGAGTGAGTCGCTGGGCCCTGGGAACCGGCCCCACAGGTGCTCTGCACAGGGAGACCTCACAGCCAACACCGCCCTGAGGTGTTGTAGGGGTTGAAAAGTAGGGAGAGAGGCAGCAGCACAGGATTACATGTGTATTTACAAGCGCGTGTGCGTGCACACACACACACACACACACACACACACACACACACATACCAGCAGCAGCAGCAAGGGCTGGCACACTCTCAGCTGCACTCCCATGGGGATAAAAGAGACCAGGGGCCGCCTGACCCCAGGAAAAGCACACAGAGGGCAGGTACAGACACTGGACCCCAACCAGGTGTGGGAGAGCCACAAATTTAAGATGATAGACCCAGCAGACCTCAGTAGGGAATGAGACCAACATACTCCACACACAGACCTTGAATAAAACAGAGAAGACAATGACAACAAATACTGGCATTTCTCTCTCTCTCTCTCTCTCTCTCTCTCTCTCTCTCTCTCTCACACACACACACCTCTCTAAAAGCACTAGACACAAACGTGTGGCCTTCACCACCCTATCCTCCCCTCCCACGTGCACTTGCAGGGACCACACACCTGCACACAGTTGCACACACACCCAGAGGCAGGTGGCGGGGCAGGGATAGCTTTCCTCTGAGTGAAGCCAGGCTTCCCCAGGGAGCCCCACATGAAGCCAGGCCCCCCAAGGATCCCTTCAGCACTCGAGCTGCATAGAGCATCGGACTAGTTACCACAGCATTGGCAAGGCCATGTCAGAAAGGATGTGCTTCCCATTGTGGCTCTGGTGGCTGCCCTGTGAGTCCAGAGCCACGCTACTTCTAACCAAGACCTGGGGTGGGGCCCACCAGCTCTCTGCTAGGCTCACAGACACACACACATACCAGCAGCAGCAGCAAGGGCTGGCACACTCTCAGCTGCACTCCCATGGGGATAAAAGAGACCAGGGGCCGCCTGACCCCAGGAAAAGCACACAGAGGGCAGGTACAGACACTGGACCCCAACCAGGTGTGGGAGAGCCACAAATTTAAGATGATAGACCCAGCAGACCTCAGTAGGGAATGAGACCAACATACTCCACACACAGACCTTGAATAAAACAGAGAAGACAATGACAACAAATACTGGCATTTCTCTCTCTCTCTCTCTCTCTCTCTCTCTCTCTCTCTCTCTCACACACACACACCTCTCTAAAAGCACTAGACACAAACGTGTGGCCTTCACCACCCTATCCTCCCCTCCCACGTGCACTTGCAGGGACCACACACCTGCACACAGTTGCACACACACCCAGAGGCAGGTGGCGGGGCAGGGATAGCTTTCCTCTGAGTGAAGCCAGGCTTCCCCAGGGAGCCCCACATAAAGCCAGGCTGATGGCCCCAGGCCCCCCAAGGATCCCTTCAGCACTCGAGCTGCATAGAGCATCGGACTAGTTACCACAGCATTGGCAGGGCCATGTCAGAAAGGATGTGCTTCCCATTGTGGCTCTGGTGGCTGCCCTGTGAGTCCAGAGCCACGCTACTTCTAACCAAGACCTGGGGTGGGGCCCACCAGCTCTCTGCTAGGCTCACAGGATGTGCTTGTCCTTGCAAGTAAGGATCATGCAGAAGGACTGAGAAACCCAGGGGAGAAGGCTGTGGGCCCATTTCTGAGCGTGGGCCCACCTAAAGGAGCACACTAAGGAGGTCAGAGCTCAGATCTGGGCCACAATCTCCTGGGGAATGGGGACCCAGTACTGAGGACACTGCACTGGACTCACACCCCACAATCCCCGCTGTGTCAGCGTGCACACCCTGTCATTGTCCGCTGAATGCTACACTGCATACAGCACACTGTACACACAGATCTCAGTCTCCCATGTGTACATACACTGCACACATCTCCCCACCCCTCAGAGGTCCCATTCTTATCAAGGCTGCACACAGATCCTAAAAGGTCCTACTGTCCTCAGACCACACACACACACACACACACACACACATCTGTGCATTCCTTGAAAGCCCACACAGCACAGGGGCCTGTGCACACACAGTGCCCACACAGAACTCCCACACAGAACTCGGTGCCTCTCGCCCACATGGAAGGGGCCTGTGCTCCCGCCCTGGCAAGCTCAGCTGGGCTCGACCTCAAGCTTCCCTGCCCCCTCTTCTGCCCTCCTGCTGCCTGCCCCCTACACCCTTCTGCCCCTCAGCTTCAGGAAACTTTTCATCAGGTCCCTAAAGGGGGAACCCCACGGTTCCTCCAGTTCCTGCCCTTCCCGCTCCCGCCTGAGACCCGGTGGGGAAAGGTCACCGCAGGCAGAACCCTGCTTGAGCTCTGGGAGGAGGGAGGGCGGCAGTAACAGCTGTCACCAGGAGATGGGTGAGGGCATGGGGAAGGTGTCGGCCCTGAGTGGAGCCGGGGGCGCCAAGGGGTGGCCATGATGTGCGGGTGGAGAGAAGCTGTGGCTGCGGCGG